AAATATATATATCATTATCTAATAGCACTTTTATGTAATTTTTTATTTAATATTTTTAAGAAAAGGAGACAGATAAACATGCGTTATGCGAAATTAAAAAAATTAACTACGATTAATGGATATATTTTTATTTAAGATAGCTGTAAAACAATCATAGCGATTCATAATGCAGTGAGTAAAACGAGAAGCTGTTGTTGACTGCAAGTTAAATGAAAAACTGAAACATACGAGTTTTCAAATTGCACTTAATGCATATTTTTATGATAGAGAAATTACTGGCAAAAAACTATTCTACTTTTCAAACACCAAAAAAAAATTGTTTCAACATCGTTATAATTAATTATTATATCAATATAAAACACGATTAGAACTAAAATAGTATAACATGGAAATAAAGTATTACCATAAAGTGACACACATTTAAACTATCAATACTGATATATAATAAATATCATGAATTAGACATATAATACCGATATATGTAAAAATAGGATATTTCAGGATGTTTAACACTTCTTGGAGGATTTACATTCGTTATAAATTAATTATTCTCCTCGTCGAATTGAAAAGGTGTTAGGAATTATATATATATATATATATATTAAAAAAATTTATGAACTAAAAAAGGAACTATTAAAAAGCCGTGAAACAAAACAAAGAGAAGATATAATCTCTTAATCAGCTCACACGATTATATCCGCTAAAAGGAGTGTTTTTAAGATTGTATCGATATAGCGAAAGCAAAATATATCAATACAACAGTGTGAAAAGCACTAAAAAAATTAAAACTGAAGAAAAAAATATAAATATGACAAAAAGTTCCTTAATTCTTTTTCGCGTTGAAAACAAAGAATTTAAAATTCAAGGCTTCGAGCTGTCATAATTATGAAAACGTAAGCGCGCACATCTGGAAATTTATAAATATATTTTTTTCTCATCAGGCACGGAGAAACTGAAACAAACTGAGCTATAAGTCAGAAACAATTGAAAGGTTAAAAGTGAATAGTTCATGTCAGCAAAGTTTTCTATATTATGCATATGCAGGTTCAATAAGAAGAGTTTTGTTCATTTTTATTGTTATTCATTGAAAAACGATTTTTAAGTATGATAAACAAAATCAGAAGGAAACGCTGATAACTGCTACGTCGATAACAAACGATGTGCAGAAGACATGTCATCATACATGATTTAACTGTTGATATTAAGGAACATGATATCGGGTTCCATGATGGAAATTTTTAGATTTTACGCTGTTGCTTTTGTGCTGTTGTGCTATTACTAAATGTTGCGATGATGTGAAAATCAAGTTGCCAGACTTAGCGATCATTCCTGATATTCTATTAAATTTAATATATGCGAATTCAATCCAGGTAAGAATTCTCGGACGAATATATTGCTGCAATTTTTTTTGGCATCATTTGTGGCTCAAATAAAGACTTACGAACCGTATTGTTTTTGTTGTTTGATAAAAATATATGAGTCAAATAATAAAAACAAAGCTGGATATCGACAATTAAATGTTTTCTATTCCAAATGAAGTTACTGACTGAGGCCCGAATAACAATAATAGATGCTTACAATCTATTATGGAGCAATAGGATAATTTATTACAAGGCAATCCTTTTGTGGTATCATATAATCAAATGCATAAATTAATGTGTTTGAATAGAAATTCTAAGTTCTTTAGATGTTACGCTAGAACATATTTCGAATGGGTTTAAATTAGAAGTGAGCCTGTTACGCAGAGCGAACTATATAACAATGTACAGCGATCTTCAGGGGTTCTATAAGATATAATTTTAGAGATTCTGTATACTTCATAAACTTAATATATTTCATATACATATTTAAGAGCGTTTGTAAAGCATAATTATAATTATAAGCATTATAATGCATTATTTTGTGGATACTGTGCTTATATGAAAAATAAAATTCCACTTTTTTAGCATCAAAATAATTTTATCGGCTTTCTTTCAATTTCTCTATTTAAGTTATTAAGTCTCTATTAAGTATTTAGAGAATTAAGTCGCAAATTACCAGAAAAAATAAAACGTTCCTTTTAAAATAGACTTTAAATAAAAATGAACGAGTGGATTTGCTACATTAACCATACATGAAATGTTTTTATGTAGTAACTTTATTTTAAAATTCACTAGAATCGTGTTAATATTAAAAGTAAAATTATACTCTTGCAAAACGAAAGTTGTTAGAAAAATGTGCAAAATCCGCTTGCTTCTTATACTAAAAAGTGTTTTGTTTCTTTAAAACAATTTAAGGAAATAAAAAGTAAAACAATTCCAATCGTATGTTAGAGGTATTCAATGGCAATATGCCAAAAAGGTGTTTAATTTGAATTGCGATCAATAATTTGAGCTGTTTAAAAATAAACTGTTACAGTATTATACCGTTATACGATATCCATAAATTTATTTATTCAAAAAATTTCAACAATTTCAGTAAATTTTTAAACATGGAAGTAACTTAAAAATAATTGCTTTTACAACTGAATAAAAACTTATCTAATAATGTATGTTATTTCAAATGTTTTGATTTTTAATATTTTGCTGTCCGATTTAGTAGCTGTACATAAATTATTCTCATTATCGCGTTTTCTTTTATTTTTTGTAATTTTTTGAACTAGTATACTTTTTTCTTTGACATTTCTAAAATCCTCAACTCAAATAATTCTGAAAATACGCAAACATCTTTTTTTTTTTAAACATCGTCAAAAAATCTTGTTCTTTTATTTACCAAACTCAAGTTGGATAAAAAAAATAAATTTAGCGAAATACAAATGAGTGTGAACTTTTTTCCTATGAGCATGGCAAATTATTTCTTATAACAAAAAAAATTCGATTTAGTTTTAAATGATAAGCCAATAATTATTTCGGATCATACTTGTTCAAAGAAATTTCAGATTAAGCATTTTAATGTCCCAGAAACTACGTTTTTGGATGAAAGTTTAGAGTGAGTGCATATTACTGTTTTATTTTCAGTATATAAATTTTATTAAAAATGGTAATTCGAGTCTAGTTTTTTGTGATGGGCTATATTTTTATCAATACACTAATTAAAAGATAAGAAAATAATATAAAACATTTCATAATAAAAGATAATATAAAACATTTCATAACCGAGAGATTATATTTTGAAGCGAAATTCTCGGTGAAAGAAATTTTGATAAAATTACCGCATGGTAATGTTAATGACATTTCTAGTAAAAAAAAGCATAATTCTGATTTAAAAAATTGGAAATTTACGGTCTTTGAACCATTGATTAGATAATTATTATCCTTCATAGTGTAACGGCTTAATGTAAAACCTGTTTTTTCAAAATTACAGTGCTTTTTGCCACACATTTAGTAAAAAATACAACACTGAGAAGTTTATTTAACCTAATAAATGGCTTTTAAACCTTGCTCTAAAGCATAATGATTAAACTACCAACTTTTACCATATTTACCAAGTTTTATCATATATTGTAGAACCATATTTAATTGTCAATTTTATCAAAATAATTGCCGAAAATTTTCGGTAAAAATTACTGTTTTTTTCGGTGTTCCCAAAAAGACAGAAAACGGTAAATATACTATAATTTGGTTATTTGACCATACGTTTTTCACGGTGTTATTACTTTTCTATTCTTCACATATAAGCATTATTATAAATTAAAATGTCTAGTTAAATTTAGCTTTAAGGGGAATTTGTAACTAGTTTTAAAAAATGTATAAAACTTGCCTTTTCGATATACTCCTTCAAAGAATATAACTCCGTTCGTAAATTTTATTATAAAAGAAAATCTCCGTTAAGTATTAATTGGTAAGTCAAAAAATTTTTAAGGTAATTGCTCAAGGAAATTTCAATTTAAGCATTTTCATGACTATGAAACTATTTTTTAAACGGAATTTAATAATATAAGATTATCAAAGAAAGAGATTTGATTTTCGGAAAATTAAAACTTGTCCAAAATTTTGATAGTCGGCTACAAAAATGTTTCTTTTTAGTTATTCTTGTTCTTTATAATGTCAAAAAAATCACCGTTGCAGACGATGGAGTCAGAAGTGTAGTTTAAATACCCTTTTAGATTTCCCTAACACTACTTAAGAACGTATTCGAGAAATATTTTTTGATTTTTGCTATATCTTCATTTTACTAAATTTGTACAAGTTTGCTAAATTTAAGCATTTTTTCAAAATAGAATTGATATTCACACTTCTAAATATGATATTGTTCTTACTTTATAAACTCAGTGGAATATGACCGGAAGAAATAAATCACGGAATCATGAAAAAAAATATATCCTTAAGTTTTCTAAAGTTATGAAAACGTCATCTTTTTATTTAGTATTTGTTAATTAAAATTTCTTGCAATTGAATACTTATTTAGATTTTTTGTTGAATTGATTCTATAAGATTATAGTTATTTTAAATACATGAATTCTAACACGATGCACATAAACTATTAAGAATCCAAAAATAATAATATTAACAATATTTAAATTTGTATTGGTTCAGTATACCATTCCCAAAAAACTATTTCTATTTAGGACGAAAAGAAAATTATCGTCCATTAAAAATTTTTTGATTTTATTTCTAGTCCATTTAGTGTTTGTAATTAACAAATTTTTTCGTTCTTCCTTTATACTAGGCACTTTTTTTTTCATTTGAAATTTTGTATTCTGGTTTGATTTAACTAGAAAGCATTCCTTTTTGTTCTTTTAATGCGGTCAAAATATAATTGATTTTTTTATTCCAGTAATCTTTAATTAATATTCAGTTTTTGTTTGCCCTTTGACTGCTGATATATGCATTTGTAAAAATTTCCTTTTTTTTTATCAATTTGTGGAAGTATTTTTTTATTTCCATAGCTGGTATGAGTTAATCAACATATAAGAAAAGACATTTCTATAAAGTGTGGATCAATTTAATTCAATTGTACGTAAAAGTTCTGAAATTTTTCATCACACTTAATTTTAACGCAAAAAATATAATTCGTCCTACCTCCTCTTTCTATACCTCCAAATGTCTTTCCAGCGCACGTGCTTATCACCCATTGTAGAACCAGAAAAAGAATTCCAAACATAGTGACCCGATATCTCGAGGCCACTAACAAAATTAGTTCCAATTCTTTTCCAGAAGCAATTAAATTAGATCAACACCACTCACAAATATCTCCTTGTGACACAAGATTTTCAAAAAACACCAAGTTTCGAGGCACAACCACAAATGGAATTTTTCCCAAAGGTCGAACTGGGTGGTTGTCGGAAGTTTTATCCGTACCAACTTTATTTGAACTTTTTCTCCTGTTTTCCCGTTCCTGTTTCACGGAGCAGGACTCTCAGGTCCGAAGTGATTCCGAATTCCCCAATCTCAGGTAGGGTTCTATCTGTCCTGGCATGCCAACGCCCTCTACCGGCCATCTTCGTCACCTTCAGCACCTTGTCTATTGATTCTGGATCCGTCTGTCGGGAAGATGGGTGGGATGGAAATTATTGAGAGTTTGTTTTGGAGTCCTGTTTCTTTCTGAGGAATAAAAGTGAAACAAGAATAATACTTCGATTTAATTGAAAGTAGTTATAGGAGAACAGCTCAAAATCAATAGCATTCGGCGCAAGGATTGGGTCACTTCGTTACTTAATGACCACTATTAGATTTGGTCATACAACCGAAGCCTGGGGAAACGTTCAGCCTAATAATCCATTTCAAAAACTATTAGAATAATTGTTTGTCACTATGAAAAGGTTATTGACTTTTAAAAGGAGTTTAAAAATTATTCAAAGGGTTTTATAATTTTTTTATTTAACTATAACGAATAATTATTAACATTTAATCTTGAGACTTTTCACACACACACACCTATACGTATATATATATATATATGGAGAGAGAGAGAGATTTATATGTATACACATGCGAGTGTGTGAAAAATAGAAACGAAATGATGTATGACAGTTGATGAATTCATATAGAGAAACATACTATTCTTGATTCATTTTTTTAATAACATACATATGTGTTTTTTTTAAAAACAATGGCTTATACAATGGCTTTAAATACAATGGTTTTTTTTTTAAATGCAAGAATTTGTTAAAAATCTTTTTTCAGTTTGAAAAAAAGAATATACATCGAATATTGAAGCGGGATTCGAACTCGCTATATATACGTTTCAGAGCAGCTAGCGGAATAACGATACAGCAAGGTNTCGCCAATAGCTTATTGTGCAGATTTAGTGCGACGTAAATTAACAACAACAACAACATTTTTTAATAACATACATATGTGTTCTTTTTAAATACAATGGCTTATACAATGGCTTTAAATACAATGGCTTTAAATACAATGGTTTTTTTTAAAAATACAAGAATATGTTAAAAATCTTTTTTCAGTTTGAAAAAAAGAATATACATCGAATATTGAGGCGGGATTCGAACTCGCTATATATACGTTTCAGAGCAGCTAGCGGAATAACGATACAGCAAGGTGAGGTTCAAGTGAAACAGCCATATATTGGGGTCTCCATTGGAGTGTGTGTGTTGTTCTTTCGCCAAACGCTCCAAAGCGCAGAGATAGTGGGTTCAATATCTTAGTGCTTTTTTTCTGCTATCTGTTCTAAAATTTGACACGAGACCAACAATAATTTTCATTAAGCACACGATCATGTACATCTATCTAAACAAAATCTGTTTATTGACTATTACACATTCATGGTTATGCTTTGATTCGAATCCGCTAATTCAATTTTCAATAGCGTTTTGCGAAAAGACGACACTGATGCAGAAATAATTTTTAAAAAAGATCTTTACTATTCCATGATTTTTTTTAGTAATTTTTACTCAAAGATTCGAAGACTTGTGTGATCATAACAAAATACCCTTTATTAGCCTAACACAAGTTTAAGAAAAGTTTGTTCCAACTAGAGAAAAACATTACATCGATACGTCTCTTGCAGCCCGGAGGTAGCCAGTTCGAATCCCACTGTGTCCAGGGTTATAAATGTGTTTCACCACCTTGCGCTATCCGTATATCGCCTTGACAACGGCATATTAGTCGATCCTCTGTAATGAGCACACAGGTCTGTTTACATGACCGTAACGATAAATAAATAAATAGTTGCATCCTAATTCAGGTGGGATTTGAACCTATTACTCATTTGCTTCCATTTTGGATGTTGGAATAACCTTGATGTAGTAATTTTAGTTACCCTGGTGTAGTATTTATTTAGTAGCAGTTAAGATGCTGATTTTTTGACGACCGGTGTGAGTAGAAGACAGGGAACTGGTCTTGCATAAGAAAGTTCTGGGTTCGAATCCCGGGCAAGGCATTGATGTTATTCCTTCTTCTGTACAATCAGTCCTTACTGTGGGTGCAACGTTGGACCACCTAATATGGTTCCCCTGAAAGAGTGACCAACAAATTTGCCCTTCAGATACCTGTTTGATGAAAGGTCATTCTGCAGATTGACGTTGGGGAAAAAAAGATATTGATTCAGCTTTGTACATTAGTACATTTGCAAATGCATTTTTTTTAAAAAAAAAGTAATTTTTGGAAAATGTTAGGTAGATGAAAATAAACAAGGTCTTTAAAATGAGCATTTTTGTGTTCTCTCAAGCTATACAAGTACTGTTAATATTACTAACTTTTGCTTAAATTTACCTACTATTACCTCATTTTCTACTAAACAGCATGGTAATAAAAACATGGTCTTATTGTTAATTTTACCAAAACAGTCATTACCAAGCGCTTCGATAAAAACTACTTTCCTTTTCTGTATCCTCAGAGAGTCAGAAATACTGTAAATTCGAGCTTATTCTGGTAGTTTTGACCATACTTTTGTTCTCATTGCAGAAATACGTGGCAGCTTGATCCATCTTAATTTTTTTAAACTTTTTTTTACTTTCTCAATGTATACCTACTTTGTAACTTTTGTAATTTTGCCGTTTTCAGGACTTTTTTCAATTCATACTACAAGTTAATGTTTGAAAAAAGTAAGTAAAATAGTTCTGTCTTCAATAATGTATGATTATAAATACAGGGAAATTTTAAGTATTCTGCTTTCCAATTGCAGTTTTTAATTATCATTAAAGTGAAAATCACTTAAAGTTTTAATAGGTTGTATGAGTTGCATATTTATAGAACTTTATTTAAACTCGAACTTTATTTAGCTCGAATTAAAAAAAACAATTTCCAAAGGAACTGCAAAAGCAGTTAACTGTATTTGCTGCGCAGCTAAAAGTCCTCTACTAGCTTAACCTACATTTCAAAACTTGCATAAATTATCAAAACTTTTATAGCGGGTGGTAATGGGCAAGCAAATCACATGATCCTCGATAAAAAGAAGGAATCCAATTATTTTTAATTGTTATTAACGTGGATTTTTGTAAAAGATAATATTTACTGTTTTTATTTATTTTCTTATTAGAGACGATTAAAAACCTAACAGTAATATAAGGTTTTCTTGTTTTTACTTCGTTAAATGATACTTTAGCAGTATTTTATAAAATTTTTACAAAACTATTTCTGATCATTTTACGCAGTATTATCCGCAAATATTTCTTGACAGTATTGAATTCTTATATTAATACCCTATAAGTATTCAAAATTAATTAGTTTTAGCACATGCTCTATAGGTGATAAAACAGTCCAAATCGTCTTTTTACAGTGATCACTAACTAAATAAAAATATAAAGCACAACTTGGTGTAAAATCATTGAAAATATATCACTCACGATAAACTTATATGCTAAACGAAATTATCAATTCGCAATTAAAATCACCGAAACTCAAAGCAATTTGGTAACTAAACATTTAATAATAAGTGCATTGGTTGACAAATAATGCTAAAACAATTGAAACTACATTAGTTTCCTCAATAATTAGAGAACTTTGCTCCTTCTCTGATAATCCTTGCCAACTCCCAAAAGAATTGTTGAATATAATGATCAAAATTTTGCGTTGCAGTAGTTTAGAGGGTTGTCAGTATCAGTATATAAGGTTTTAATATGTTTTCAATGCGATATTATTGTCTATATAACTTTATTTCAATCCTTGTTTATAAACAAACTTCAGTTGAATTTTAAAAAGTAAATTTCGTGATTTCGTTTAAATTAAAAAAATTTCTATATCAATTTTGCGCAGGTAATTAAAATAAGATAAAAATTTCCAGCAATTTTTCACTATTATTTCAATAATAACAATATTTAAGGACATATATAACAGAGCCTTTTTTTATTTTGAGCTTGGTCACTTTTAAAATGTTTTACTCTTCACTAAATGCTAAAGTTTACACTTTTAAAAGTAATGTACAAAACTAACTTCAATCACTAATTTTAAGCAGATTTAAATACTTAAATTGAAAAATAAGTTAATCAGTTTCTCAAGTAATTAGAAGTTAAAAACTAAGATTTTTTATTGAAATGGCATTTCACATACTTAAACATAAAATACATATGATTTATTATGAAATAACTGTTTAATCAGTATACTACTCAAATAAAAGTATGTCTAAAGTATGTTAAATCCTTCTAAGTGTTAGTTATAAAATACTCTTTAATATGTATAAAGTATCCCAGTTTCACTATTGAAACGAGAGTATTTCAGCATATCTTCACTTATTATTCATAGAGAAATTTAAACTCAATTATTTAAGATACTAATGCATAAGTATAATCGAAAAGCTAATGTTTTATTGAATATTTTCGTTAAATAAATCAAATAAAAACAGAGAGTGTTTTTGAGGATAGTCTGTACTATATTTCCAATTAGCTTAACTATAATTATACCGTAAACCGGGGCGAGTCTACCCATTTTAGTTTTATTTATTTTTCACTATTTTAAATTGCAAATAAAAAAATTTTTTTACCGACGGAGGACTTAGTTCAGACTCTAAGGAAGATGGCGCTGTAGTAGTTTGATCCGTTTTTATTTATTTGGTGTCTTTTTAACCGACCTGTTCAAACGTCTTTTGAGAGATTTGTATTGAAAATCAGCAAACTTTTAGTTGGTGCTCCGTAAGTATATTATTATTATTACTATTTTCACTTTGGTTAAGTGATAAACTTATCTAAGACTAAGATTACATTAATTTTATATAAAAAAAAACAAAAAGAATGTAAGTTTTGCTGTTGTAAACAAAAAGCCAGAATTCGCGGGGCGAGTCTACCCATTCGTATTTAGTTTTAATAAAGCATAATAATATAATTTAGAACTTTGTTTATATTAAAATTAAGTCATTTTAAATGAATTTGAGTATATTATTTTAATTCTGCATTGATAAATTTATCATTAATAAGAAAATTTATAGGTTAAATATAAATGTAAATATAAAATATGTTTATTTTACCTATTTTTTCAATTTTTATATTACAAAATTAACTTTTTTTAT